TGATCATGAGTGAGGAAGGAGGGAGGGTGGGTGAGTCCTCACGTAAAGATGGCTAAGGGCATTACGAGTGATAGGCACCTGTTTAGGATAGAGGGCAACAATTGACGAGGTGAAAGTGTGGCCAAGAGCTTGTAGCCTCCTACCCCATCATCATCCTTGGCAAAAAGGATGGGAGGTAGAGCAATGGGTTCAACGAAGATATGAGTAAAATAATCTTTTCACGCAAAGAAATAACGCTCTATCATAATTTCTAAAAACAAAAACTTTTTTTTAAGAATTCACCTAAAGTTTAATTCATACAAAAAATAAAACACATGGAGCTTACTATTTAAAATCCTCATACTATTTATAATTTAATAAAATAAACATTGTAATATTAATAGTCCATCTAATTTTGATTTTAATTTTTTTTACTCACATACTCTGTAATTGCCACCTTTGCACACTATCATAGGTCTTAGCGTCCAACCTATGAGTACTATTGATGTTGTCCTTCCACTTACTCCTTAGCCCGTGCTTTGATCTTATTTGTCGTCGCCCTATCAACACTCCTCCAAGAAGGATGGGAAAGATGAAAAAGATATTTATAGTCCATCTAATTCTAATTTTATTTTTTATTTTCCTCACATACCTTACACACTGTCATAGGTCTTAACGTCCAACCTGTGAGATCGTTGTCCTTCAACTTACCCCCTAGTCCGTGCTTTGATCTTGTTTGTCACCGCCCTATCAACACTCCTCCGAGGATGAGAAAGATGAAAAAGATATTTATGTCTATTTATAAAAAATAATTTTAAAATATTATTTTTATAAAAAATAAAGAGAGAATTGTAAATAGTAACATGTAAAGAATGTATTATCATCAACATGGACTTAAGTATTTTGAATATTGTATATTATTGGATCATGTATCTTCAAGATATTAGAGAAACTTCATGAGGCACAAATCATGTAGCCCAAATGGTTTACTTCTAATAATAAAAAATTAAGCACACGTAATTTATTTAATGGAACTTCCAAAACTTTATTGAAATCAAACTATCTCAAACATATTTCATCATGAGTTCTCGCATCTCCTTTCCAGGGGCTGCAAATACGAAGAAAAAACAAGCAAATTAAGTACGAAGAACTCATTGGAGACTCACAAATCTCATCTGCGAGAGAATAGAAAGCTTACCTTCCAAACCTGTGAACAGCTTAAATTGCCCCATTGCTTGCCTTATGAACATCTCAAATCCACCAACAGTGGGGACTCCACATTCTTCTGCCTCCCTCAGAAGCCTCGTCACTTTCGGGGCGTAGACCGCATCGAACACCAAGGCGTAGTGCCCGAGAGCTCGCTGTCATTTCCACAAACACTTGCCGCTCAAATCCAGTGCACAGTGTCATAATGAATCCATCGGGTGGAACAGACCTTAGCGAGAGGAGTCTCGCCCACGTTTGGCTGCATGCCCACCGAGGTCGCGTTTGCCAGGATCATTCCGTCCTCCGGGTGGAAGTTCTCCAGCTCAGAGAGTGGCAGTGCCTGCCCACCAACTTGTTTCGCCAGCTCCCGGGCTCGCTCTGTCGACCACAAGTTCGAGCTCTTCATGATCCATGTAAAAGCCAGAAGCGCAGTTTGCTCTCCAGGAAGAAGAAGAAGAAGATTCACCGTAAGTTCGATTAGCGATCACGACTCTGGCTCCTTTCTCCTTCGCGCCGTAAGCAATGGCCTTCCCAGCTCCACCTGCACCCATTACGACGAACACCCTACCTGCAAGGGGAGAAGCAGTCTCTTCCTCCTTTCCCTGTCCCTGTGAACCTGTTCCATGAAACAATGAGAACAAGATGTGATCTTTACGAGCTGCTGTTTCCATGTAGGTATATCTCAGTGCACCTCTCAGTTCCTCCTCGATTGCAGATATTGCACCAAAGTAATCGGTGTTGTGGCCGACGAACTTGCCGTCGCTCGGTCGCCTGATGATGGTGTTCACGGCGCCTATAGACTGCAACAGATGAGAAAAGGTGAAACGAAGGGTATACTGCACAGATCATAAGATTGCATGACGTAAAGGAGATGCTGCTATCGCTTACCTTCGCAATTGGATCGACTGCATCACAGCATCTCACTGCAATTTCTTTGTGGGGCATTGTGCAGCTGCAAACAGAACACTTGAGAGAAGATGGAAAACAGAAGGAACAATCTATTGTTCTAAAACTCGATTACTTTTGTGCTTTCCAGCCAAACCTGAATCCAACGGAGTCCGGAGACGAGAAGGCATGTAGGAAAGCAGTGAGGTCATCCACCAGCAGTGGCACATAGACAGCGTCGAAGCCAGCAGATTTGAATGCAGCATTGTGAAAGATGTGGCTTTTGGTCTGCCTCACTGGATTCCCTATCAACCCAGTGAGTTTGGTGTCTGCTCCGATCTGCCTGATGTTGTACAGGTGCAGCAGCTGTGAGACGGTTGGCTGCCCGGGAGCCGATGCCTTGCCCTCGCCGAGGGTGCCGAAGGTGAGATATCCACCGTACTTGGGGCAGAGCACCCTGGAGAGCAGACCTCTCTCCCCCATAACCAGTCCTATCATGGGGACCTGTTGTTCCAATGCATCCACCATTAGCCAACCACAAGATGAGAAAGAATGCTTAATACACTTCAATCAAATCTCTCTCTCTCTCTCTTGTTGCTTCTTCTTCTGACATACCCTATCAGTACAACACCAAGCAAGCTTGATTCAGGCTCAAGAAAGCTTTAGATATCGATCGGCAAGTGAATCTCACCTGGCAATGCACGAGAACTTGGAACATGCGTGTCACATCCACCACACTCACAGCAGTTGTTGCGATCTTCACTATATCAGCTCCGGAAGCCTGTATGGCTGCCACAAGGCTTCCGAGCTCCTCACTTGAAGGTGTCTTTTGGTAGTTGTGAGAAGACACAATAAGCTTGAAGTTTTCTGGCTTCTTCCCATCGATGAGCCTCACGAAGTCCTCAGCCACCTGCAAGCCTCATGTCATACAGATTTAGAGCTTTCCTTCGTATTAATGTGAGGTAAAAATCTAGAGAATATAGACACAACCAAGAATACAAGCACTGACAGGGAGAGTGAAGACAGTGGAATACAGATCTCTGTTACTTTCCGAAGGAGCATTATTATGGAACAACCAATCAAGGAGGTGAGAGAAGAGATCAAGAAAAAAATAAATAATTAGGAGAGTTTTCTCTATCGGAATTATCTGCATGATTTCCTAACATAATAATTGTCTACCATAACTTTAATCCGATCTAATTAAATCTTTAATATATCCTGTAAGAAATATATCATCGCTGAAATCAGTAACCTAAATTTATTTGCTTCTGATATAAAACCAACCAACCTTAAGCTCAACATCAACGTAATCAGCTCCCAATTCCATGGCCAAAAGCAATGCCTCCAATCGCTGCTTGTCATCACCTTCGTACTCACCTCCTTCCCATTTGGGTCTACATATAACACAAGAAATCAGAATTAAACTTCTTGCAACACTGTTTGCAGCAAAACAACAAATCAATCCTTTTTTTTTCGTTTTTTAATTTAATTTTCGTAAATAAAAGATGAAGGAAATGAATTCATTGCTTTCAGAAAAAAAAAACTAATTAATTAATTAATTAAAATATGGCATTAATGTCTCTTCTCTCGCCCACTAAATGTCTTTTATTGCCATCAGTACGACTGTCGACAAAATCTTCGAAAAGGAAAATAAATCTAAACTGAAATATTTGATTAATCGAATCGAATCGAATCGACCTACCAAACACATTCTAAAATATATGGTACATTATCTTTGTATATTGTACACATATTTCCTGTAATTAGTAGAAGTCAGAAAGATTCTCTTGATGTGTGTGTGGGTGGATATGGCAAGCTACTGCATGTGGATCCAACACAACTTGTTCTGCTTGGATCCTCGATGCTCTACATAGCATCCGTGAACGACCGTGACTCCCGCATGAATCATGGTAGTGTTTCCTCTCATGGCTTGGCAGCTCTCGAGAGTCTTTGTCAGTAGCAGAGAGCAAAGAGGAGAAAGGAGGGGGCGATGGACCTGTAGGTGACGAGGGCGGGGAGGGGGCGGTCGCGGAGGAGGAGCGGGAGGTCGCGGCCGGGGAGGAAGGCGGAGAGGTGGTCGACCCGGAGCTCGACGAGGTCGGCGCCGCTGGCCTTGGCGGCGGCCATGTCGGCCGTCATCTGCTCCACCGTCTTGGCCACCAGCGGCACGCACAGCAGCGTCATCCCTCTTCCTCTTTGGATCTGGTAACGGAGTCGGAGGGAGAAGGCTCTTCTTCGATGGAGTTTATAGAGAGAGGAGGAGATGAGGATCCACGTCAACGTTGCGACAGCATACCGGATCTGATGGTTCATGTAAGATATGTGCGTGTCAGGAGTTTGGTGAGTAATGTGACTGTGAAGGCATTTCGTCAAACATGATGACTGCGAGCCTTCTGCTAACACCTCCGAGCCTCTTTTCCAGCCGTCGATGGCAAGATTGACCACATGTAGACATTAATGATCAGAGAGAGAGAGAGAGAGAGAAGGGGTGGGTGATGGGTCACCTGTCATGATATGTACCCAACATTAGGAAATTATATTTATAAGACTTCGAGATCACATCGTCACTCCTAAAAGACTCGAATTTCTTGCATAAATGTCGGTGTCGTATTGAGGTTAATTTAAACTGAGTTGGCATATCCTAAGACATGTATTTTGGCGAAGATCATGATGAATTGAAGATACATTATATGAAGGTGTTAATGCAAATCCAAAATCTTAGATAAAACATCAAAATTCTTATCAATTAAAAATCAGCAAAGACGATGGATTGAAAGGATTTAATGATTTAATTAATATAACAAATTAAATCACTCTATCAACGGAGGCATTTTCGACTTATCTAATATACGTTGAGTAATTAGGTAGATAGTTTGATATAAAATGATTATAAGGTGCAATGTCACAGAACAAACCCAAAATGCTGCATATGTTGTGAATTCATCTCCCCAAGTTGTTTTATTTTTCATAGCTAATGTAAAGGTTTCCAAATAAAGCATGCAGAAAGGGATGTCTCAAAGGAGAGTTTCAGTACACATTCTTTGGAACTCAAATAGTTGTTCTAATGTACTCTATGACAAAACCTCAGCATCCAACCAATAGGTGAAAAAGATGATCAAGCTTGCAATCCAATAATGCCTGAAATTTGACCCCCCCCAAAAAAATCAAGAATATTATGAACTAGAGATAACAGTGGACAGAATGTGATTGCAAATAAAGTAGTTGTTATTATAATCAAAGTAAAGATTCAAGTTTGTTTGTCGAACTCACCGCAGGCAACCCTTCCGCCAGCGTTCCCAGTGGTCTTGCTCAGCTCATGACCACCTAAAAACAGGAAAACAAGTTTTTAAGAGAAATAAATCCCTAGATGGATGGAAAACCCACGAGATGCCACAAAGGAACATTGCAATCTCGTTAATAAGTTAAAAAGACAAGTTTAGCATGATATAAAAAGTCAGAATAGATTGCCAATAAAAATGATATACAAGCTTCAACAATCTTGTCGGCAGGAAAAATCCAAGATACTTAGGAAAAGTTAGATGCTTAGTTACTGATCACCAAAATCAGCAGTATGACCTGAAAAGGCATTACCGGTCACCGCAATCAGCACATCTTATGCACACCAGTCCGCCAAATACAAGAAACATTTCCAAGATTGGCAGCACGGGGATGGATGGAGATGAGGCTACCAGATACAAGAAACATTTCCCACAAGGCTAGAAACTGGATGCGAAAAAAGAGACTGAAAGAGTATGAGGATCAATAAGACGAAACATGTTCAACATTTCCACGACATTGATAAACTGCAGATCCAAGGCTGTAGTCTATGATTGTTAAGATGATTGGAATACAGGATTTTCAACCAAGTCATATCCAATTTGAAGACATTAATAATCTGGAAATTATGTCCTGTTACAGTTACACAGAAGAGTCATCTACTACTTAGAAATAGAAGCAAGATGGTATTTATTGGATAATTAATATGGATCACAAATGAGGGAACAAAGAAGTACAGAGTTTATGCTTTTCCAACTGTTTATCATAAGTCATACAGGTACAAAGCCACAAATATTTACCATAATATCTCAGCAATATGAATTAAAGGAATTCACAATTTTCTTATCTGCCTGGAACCTAAAATATTTCAAAATCATTTCACACAATATCACAAAAAATATTCCAAAAACATGCTCCTTAAACAATAATATCCATGTAAAGAATATGTCATCAATTTTCAAGTCACTTTAACATCAAATATTCAGTATGTCCACTAAAATATACATGTCGTTATGTCAAATTGTAAAGCTACAACACGCCAGAAAATTTTCTAGCATTCTCTGGGGGTTATACACTGTTTATAAACACTTAAGATACTGGATAACTAGACATTGATTTTACATGGGAAATTGATAACATAATTTTAACTCTGAAAAATTAAAAATCTCCAAGAACCAAAATACGAAAAGAGAAAAGAAGAGAGAAGCACCCAGAAAATTAGCTGAATAGCATACATATAGATGTTCATTCTTCAGATATCAGAACAAGCTGTTGCACATGCTCAGACAAGAACTTCTACAATGAATGAGCCAAGGTTGTAAAATTAAACATTACAGCCTAAAAAAAAGTGCACATAACCTTTTCCAAGATCATCTGGATCGGCATGGACCACAACAGCCCTCCCGATAATGGAATTTGGACCGGAGAGGGGAATCTGTGAAAATGGAAAAGTTCAAAATGATTACCAAACCAAAAGCGATGTCTTTTACATCCGGATCACAGGAACAAGTAAAAAAGAAAAGCATATACTGGGTCACCTGGCTATCAGTGATGGAGAAAGTGACAGTACCTGCAATATCATCAACAAACAATTATAGAACATTTAATTAGCCACTAACAAATTGGACCAACACAGCTCACAAGGGAAAACACAGAGTGGTCTCAGGTCAAGCCTAGAAAACCACAGAAGCTGAGGATCACATTTGTAGTACCATCCAACGATTCCAATAAGAATTGTCACTTACCATCCTCCCCGGCGGTCACATTCCCAAGATCGCCGGCGTGGCGGCCCGCATCGTCCGGCGCTCCATGTTCCTTCCCCGCAGGATTAAAATGCGGCCCTGCCATGCGGTGAATCAGGAATTACACATAGTACAGAGACATGGACTATCAAAGGGATCAAACGGAAAAAAGACCGATACCAGTGGACATGCAACCATTGGTGGTGTCACCGAGAGCATGAACATGGAACCCATGAAGTCCAGGCTTGAGACCAGAAATCGTGCCAGTCACGGTAGTCGGACCTGGAGACAGCAGAACAACAGATCAAACCGATTCGCAACCCTAACCAAGAAGCAGCGGTAATAGCGAATCCAAGAGACGAGATACCATCCCCTTCCTGGGCGAAGTACACGGTGCCCTTGACGCTATCACTGCTACCGAGAACCGCGACGGCCTTCGCCATCTTCGTCCGTGATCTGCACGACAAAGATCCAAAACCCCGTGAATGATCTCTCCAGCGATAGGTGCTCTCCACGTCGGGAGACAGAATGCCGAAACCCTAAGCACGGCAGCTATTACCTCAGGCGACCCCTTTCTTTTCGCTTCGAGAGAGAGAGAGACAGAGAGAGAGGAATCAGAGAGGACAGGCGAAGTGGAGAAGACTTATCACCATTAATTAATCGAGAAAGGACGAAGGTAGGATGAGATTACCACAGTGAGAATAAGACACCTATGACCACCACATCAACAGGTGTCTAATATTATTTTAATATACGGATGTTTTACACAATAATTTCCACACTTAATTTTGATATTATTTATAGGACAATTTCCTAAAAACAATTTGATTATATATATATATATATATAATTTATTTATCCTTTAAATAAACTCAAGTTAACTATTGTTAACAAAGCCATTATTGATATTGAATCAAATAATAATAATAATAATAAAAGTGAAAATGTCTTAAATATTTTAATTATTCTTATTAATCATTTCAACCTTCATCTTGTTTAATATTTTCGAAAAATGGTATTAATATCAATCTGAAGTTTCACATCATTATACAAAATTTTGAGTTTTACAAAAATACATTGAAAGACTTAAATTTGAAGAGGAAATAGAAAAATTACTAATTTTAAAGGGATGTATATGTAATTGTATCTTTTTATTAAAGAATAAATTAAAATTTCATGAAAATTTGAAAACTCCAATTAAAAAAAATACATATATTATTTTTTAGATTGAATATTCTAATGTCAAGTTTGTACAAAAAAAAGGCATTTATTTATATATAATTATTCTATTCAAACACCTAATGATCATTGATCTACCATTTCAAAAAAATAGTTGTAAAAAAATTAATAATTGGATGTCACCTACTCTGATATGGTGTCAGCTCTCATCAAAGCAGATGAGCCAAAAGTCAAAAGGAAGTAAGTAGATAATTACTGCATTCCTTACAATCTTTCTTCCCTCCCTGTTGAGCTTAATCTTCCACAGCTTACAGAAAAGTCTTATTCCATGATCAGATTATAGAAGGAAGAATAATGTGTCTCATCATTGCACAGTGATCATCTTCTTTCAGAGCAGGGCAGACAGGAAAGAACAAGTTCCTCCAATTCCAATTCCAATTCCATTATGTGGAATCCCAGATTACAGCCATGGAAGGAAAAAGATGTAAGTTTTGTGCTTCAGAAACCTTCAAATTGCTGCAGTAAGGCCAAAAACTAAGAGAGCAAGTGGAAGTTTAACTAATTGATGCCATCTTTGACTCCTCAAGAACCCAAAGGCTGCTGTCAGCTTCACTCAACCCTTTTCTTTCCTTTGTTCCTGTTGGATATAAATCTGCAGATGAGAAAAGAACAATAAATGTAATAATTAAACATGCTAGTGAAACAAAACAATTTAGAAATGAAGTTAACACAAGCAGTTTGAACTGTTTATCAGAGATCATCAAGATTCTTTATCTTGAAGTGATGCAAATGATCAACTGTATTGAGGTTTTATTATTTTTTTCCTCTTGTATTTATAACCATGCTGTAGATCCTTCCAAAAGCAGTTGATTGATGATTATGAGAACTGAGAAAATGCATGACATTAGAACAAGCCAATATAAGATCTTTAACCGAGTAAAAATGTTCGGTGAATTCTTTTGTGTGCAAAAAGAAACCGACCGACGAAGACAAAAAAAATCGAGCTTAGGATCTTACGATAAACTATCAAAGTCTTTATGAGCTAAGCTGGCTGACACTTTCAATCATGTTATAAAATTTTGTATAAAATAATCTCCATATGATATGATTTGGTTGTGCCCTACTTGTCATTTCAAACATTAAAAATTCTCTTCTTGTGGAATCCAATCTGTTCTGAACACCAAGTGTTGTGAGCTTTTATACCAACTCCTTTTCATATATTTTGCACATCATGTACAAACTGGCGCAAAAGGAATCCTAATCCATAGAAAAAGATTGGTTGGAGCATAAAAGATTTGATTGGTGGTGAAATGATGTGAGTTATGGCTTAGGGATACGGACAGATTGGTGGCTCTTTGTTCCTCCTCTCATCGAAGCTACTTCATTCCTTTCTGAGATACGCGGCTATAAGAGAAAGGAAAAGCTTAGTAGAATTTGGAACATAGCCCATCCGAGAAAGTTGACATGGATGCAACGCATGCCTCTTCATCTCCGACCCATTCTTGGATCCAGCTAACTCTATGGGTATCGATTCCCCATCATTGTTTGCTACTGCAAATGCTGCTGTACACCGACTGTTGCTTCCATTGTTTTGTGTCCTCTTTCTTCTCCACGAAGCATCAGATTGGTTCCAAATCATTTCGTATAGATGTCACAACACTAACCCATCGATAAGAGTAAACTTGTAAGCATTTACTCTTAACATGAAAGTCAAATGCATCTAAGGTCATGTAATTGACGTGAAACAAACCATTTCAGCTTGTCGTAGTGGAGAGCAAAACAGGGTATCTATTCTTCTCCAAACCCAGCTCCTTGTTTCAGACATCTTGTAACATCTCCGGTGTACTCATGTCAGAAACTGGAACCTGAGGACAAAAAATCTTAAACAATAAAGAGGGAATTCAAACCTTATCAGAATGCAAGAATCCTTTTGGCATCAGAATTGACATTACTCAGGATTTGCCTTGCAAATATTCCTGTTAGAGTAGCCTTAGCCTTATCTGTGAGCCTGGCTGCTAAAAGAGAGAAGAACATTATCCGACTCCTGCCATTACCAACTTGGATCTGAAACAATATGTGAGCAGATGCAGTAGCAGAAGAAAGGGAATGATATGCGCCTATATAAACGAGTCACACGAAGAGTAGAATGTGCACAGAGCTCTCAGGTACCTACCTCGCTTCGACTTGTGGCTGCGATGGAGAAGGTGATGAGGTTGGCGTCGCAGCGAGCGGTGACGGTCTTCAGCTTCAGCTCATGCTGCATGTGCTACAGCGTGAAGAGTCTGTTCAGTGAGCTCGGGGTCGACGCGGCCATCCACGAGCTGGACGAGGACCCGAGCGGGGCGGAGATGGAGAGGGCGCTCGTTGGGCTGCTGGGGCGGAAGCCGCCGGTGCCCGCCATATTTATCGGCGGAAGGCTGGTTGGCTCCACGGACCGGATCATGCAACTCCACCTCGGTGGCAATTTGGTGCCGCTGCTTCGGGATGCAGGCGCTCTGTGGCTCTGAGTACGCACAATGCCGAGTTCATGGCACAAACTATATATATATATATATATATATATATATATATATATATATATATATATATATATATATATATATATTGATCGTGCAATATGCATGAAAATAAGTTATAGAGATGTTGTGATAGAATCTACTCATTTATAATATTATTTTCCTGATGAAAATGAGACATAATGTGTCAGTTCATATAAGTGAAATGGAACTTACTTCTTGATTGTGCTGCTTTTCTTTCTAAATGACCATAATATGACGATGTATCGAAGTTGCGTGCACATAGAAAATGTGTATGCATATGCCATCGATCATTATGGATGTACGAGTTTATCATTTAGATATGGAAAACACAATTAAGCAACAAGATATGACAGGAGTTAAAATCACAGCCAAGCTTCCGTCTACTGCATTCTCCATCACAATAAATCATATGAAACCTAAATAAAAAAAAAGTCAAAAATTTCTACTTCAAGAAGCTGGCAACACAAATTGGTAGCAACAGGGCCTACGAATGCAGGATAAGGTCAATTAAAAGTACAGATTCTAAACAAAAGATCACAATAACATAATTACCAGATGACATTGAACAAAAATATAGAATAGAATATTTGAAGAAGGTCAGGGATCATCCGATGATTACAGTATCAAATTCCTTAACAACACAATTCCAGTACAGGAATTTCGTACCACACGGTGCTTCCCTTTGGAGCAGAAGTCGAAGCAGTTACTTGAAACAGATGAATATACAAAGGAAGTTGCCACCAAAGTCTTGAAATTTTGTTAGCAATCTCCAGCCTGTGCAGCTATAGATTTCAACAGCCTTTATTAGCTTCATGGTCGACATTGCTGGGAGCCTGAAAGACATGGAAGGGCGTGTGTTTCTCCAAAGAGATCAGATCAATCAGGCCAGGTATCTGAAAAGATTTGGGTTGTCCTTGTCCCGCTCTAAATACTCTCTGGTGATCAAATCTTCTATTCTTTTCTTAATTGCTTTAAAGTCAGGCTGCAGAATTGAAAATTCAAGACAGCAAGAAAATCGATGAGAGATATATGTAAAAGCGGTCTGTTACTGATCAACCTATATTTCTCCTTAAAATCTGCATCAATCATTTTCGATGATTAGAAATATGCCAACACGATTGGTGCCACAACTATGGAAACAGTAGACGGCCACACAGCAACACTTCCATTGCTATGTCAATGGTGGATAATACAGGGAACAAGAGGTTATAGCTACTGATTATTTAGGGTCAACTCAATATACCAACTTGGAAAACGCAGGGTTAATAGATGTTATAAGCATAAAAAACCTTGCGATAAAGAAGCCGTATTAGATTTTCTAGTTCATAAAATAGCCATACATTATGTTATGAAATCATCAAAATAAAGAATAAGCAAGTACCTTGAACATGCGACCAAGCTGTTCGACGCATTCCATCACTAACTGTTGATGACCCAAAACTTTACGACTTTTCATAATGCGCACAATGGAGGCATCAATAGCATATCTTCGATCCTTGTCAACATCTTCTATTACCTTCTTCTTTTCATCCACTGGTGGAAGAGGTATCTGTAGGCAAGAAGAACCAATGAAACCAAAGATGGTTGAAAACCAGAAGCAACAGGCTAGGGACATTTTCTGCTACTTTAAAATGGAAAAATTTGTCCAGAATCCAGACCTTGATCCTTCTCATTTTGTCACTGAATTTGGAATTAAACTCAAAGACGTCATTCGGAGAAATAGATTTCGTATATGGCTCTTTATTGAGAATCTTATACTTGGCACAAGAAAGGGAGTGAAGCAATCTGATAACATCATCATCGGTCAAGTTAAGCTGAGCCATGATCTCTGAATAACTCAATCTATCTGAGGCATTAAAAAGAAGCAAAGCCGCCGCCTGTACACAAAATATACGAGAATGCTTCTTGTTGGCATCCATGTTTATTTAACATGAATAAAAGTGGAATTCAATAGATACCTGATAAGTTGTGACAATAAGCTCCATTGTCTTGGGCTCAAACTTTCCAATGAGGTTACATGTCCCCAAAGAATAAATCCATGTAAGCTTCCTATGTTTGGTTTTTGTCTGATAGAACTCTCTAAAAACTTCTACACATTTTACCTGAAATCAGAAAAATCCAAAGCAGGTCGCTTAGCATTTAATCAATAAATGGTAAAATAACTTTTTTTTTAACATATCCTTCCCTAAAACATTTGTTATTTATATACAAATTCTGAAATAGTCATTGCTTACATGATAGTCCCTTAATCTTGCTTCACTGTGCATACCAGTTCCAGTCTGTAGCCCAAGTTCAGTTAAGCCCTAAGTTTTGGGTTTGATTGAAAAAAAAAAAAAAAAGAAGGCCTGGAGATTCTTCTCTTTAATTTATCTCCATCTTTCTTTGAAATATCAAAGAATATCAAATATAAATAAGCTCTTCAAGAAGACACTACATGAAGATATTGGTAAAGAATAGTCTCTACCAAAATCATCATAACACTAAGCGAATACAAAGGAAGCAATCGGGATGCAAAGGCATATTTGCATGTAAGGATCAGGCTCATTGCTAACTTGATGAACAGTTTCTTTCATTTTTTTTACTGAAAAGTAACATCTGCAGGAGTGTAAGTGGCTATATTTGGTCGATTTGATGAGCATATGGGAGTAAGGTTGCCCTTATTTGTGTTATGAAGTGGATGTCATTTAGGAAAAAAGAAGATGCGTCCAAGTTGCTTGAGGGAGGAGAGTTTTCATTCAAATTTAAAGCATCAAAATTAATATTATCATCAAAATCAATTTTCTTAAATTTGGGAAGCTTATTAAAAACAACATGAATAGATTCCTCTATGACCAAAGTTCTTTTATTAAAGGCACAAAAAGTTTTAGACATAGAGAAAGCTTTTTGACATAGAGGAATAACTAAGAAAAATGTCTTCATCGGATTTTGCATCAAATTTTCCTAAGACATCTTTTTCATTTAGAATAAAATAATAATCCTAGTATACTCCTTAAATCTGTATTTAGACTAACTATGACCAAAAATGCACAACAAAGGCGGATATCAGGAACTAACATGCAAATAACAAGTTATGAAATACTTGTACAAAATAATATAGAATTCAGGTACTATATGAAAAAGGTAACATTTGATTAATTTAGGCCAATCCTAACTAATATTCCTTTCCTCAGCCTAGAGCATATTCCAAAGATATGCCATCTTCCGAGATAGTTTCCAGTTTTCATAGGACAATGAGAGATCAATTGGAAGACAAATTTTCACTTGTTAAGATGGTCGACAAACCATTTCAGCAGGAAGGTTGAGATCAAATGATTTGTAACTTGGCCAGAATCCCGTTGTCAGAACGGTGACAGTGAGATCTATCCCTGGATTTGCCTGAGGATTAATGTTGAGATAGTCCTCAAAATTAGATTGGTTTTCTCTGGCAAGCGTTAAATCAGTCACCTGCAAAGACAAACCAAAGACTCTAAGCCACTAAATTATATCCATCTAAAACATAAGCATGGTGCTACATACCATGCCCTCCATCTTTGAGGTGAACTGTCCTCCACATTGCTGCTTTAACTTTGTCAAAATACTCCTCTCATGGTCATCATTAGCACTTTTGTCAAAGAGCAACCTCCGAGCAAGCTTCTTCCTGCAGATTGATTCCTCAATAGGAGAACAGCAATGATGAAAAAAGTAGCAAGCACTGAAGTCACATAAATGTAAATGAACATAGAAGATTCTACAAGTGACTATACCTATAGAACTCGGCAAACAGATCTTTGTCACTGATATAAGCAAGCAACCTCACGACCTGCAAATACAAAATATGTGTTTGATGGCATCCCAAAGTTGAGACTACAGCAGGAGAGAAGAACAGGGCCAAACAAGAGAGGGAGAAACATAGGATAAGAAGAGAAAGGGAAGAGACACGGATGCAAAGACAGTAAAATAAGGTATCTACTTTCTCAAGTGTCTCCTCAATTGCTTCGTCACTGAGTTTCTCACTTCCACCCTTCTTAAGAATATTATCACAGAAAGTCGCCAGCAACTCAGCACTTGAGCTTCCTGCAACACCTTTGTTACAGAAAACCTCAAAAGCCTCTTTGAGTGCCTAAAAGGGACAGAACAGACTTATGCAAAGTACAACAACAAAAAAACCAACTTGACCATTAGTGCATCATAAACCAAACCTTATGGAAAAGGGAATGATTCTGAAAGCAGTCATTCACATAAGACAAGTACTTGTCATGCAGCTCAATAACCTTTCTGACAAAAACCTGGAAACCAAAGATTATAATTTCTGATTCTCAAATAGTAACCAATCAACTTGTCTGAAAGTACTTATCAAAGTGTTTCAATCTACCTGTTCTTGGAGGCCAACCACATCCCTTTTCTCTGCCTGCATAGATTATAATGCCAGAAATGTTAATAAAGTAGGCATCTGAACAAGCAGCTAAAACGATGACTGCATGATATACACAAAAACAGAAATAACAAAGGATGCAACTCATGAAAGAAAATAAAACAAGCAATACAACTGTCAAATCAAACAAAGCTGAAGATAAAGGTCATAAACCAATATAACTAACATAGGGTGAGCACAATCAGTTCTGCAACACCATTTGAAGTAGATGTTCATTTTCTCCAAACACAACAAAATGTATATCACATAGAGTGCATGAAAGTATTACACGACATTGATAAATCATAAAACACTATTCCACTACGCCACTGCAAACAACTAAAAAGAGAAAGTTCAACTCTTGTTACCATAGTCATTTCTGTGTTCTTACTCAGCTATTACAAAACAAAGAACTTCTAAGAGCTGTGCAACATAATCAGAATTCACGAAATTGAATAACAAGGACAGTTAGCTAATTGAAGTAATGCCATGATAACAAAAATTTGTCATGACAACATAGACACAATGCATATCAAGAATGATGCCACTATCTTACTAATGAACACAACAAAATTTAACAAAAAGGAATATGCTTCCACAGAAAATTTGCTCTGAATCATTCTTAGCAAGTACTGAGTTCTTGTGCCAAAAGAGTTACTGCCAAGTGCAAAGGACACCTCAAGATAGCTCAATTCTCTTAAACTCTAAAATTTTTGCATACCTTCTCTCAGTCCACCTCATAACAACTTCCAAAATGTTCCTAAAGTTGGTATAATTTCGCCAGTAGAATGTTAAAACAAATGTGCTTACACAAGATGATTAATAAATGCATACATTTGCGAACATAGTCGTTGTTAAAATCGAGGATGACTGAGAGAAGACTTTTAAGTTGGTTTGACAGTGTTAAAAGAAACCAAGTTAGAAAAAGTGAGTATCAGGAGATGTAGAGCAGTTCAAATAGAATTTGAGAGAAACAACAATAAGAAATTTTATTGCTCTAAGTTTGACAAGCGAATAATGAGATTGCCTTCGAGGGCCTCAACAAAACTCCATGGCAGGGAAGGATTTATGTAACCAATTTACATCAAACTCATATTAACTCAACATTATGTTGAGCCATGGTTGCATAACCTAGCAAATATGATAATACGAAATTCATGATGATGTATACACTTCATGTATCATATACTTTAAAGATAGCTAAAGTCCTAATAGCAAATGCTGTGTATTAAGAGCAAAGAGCAATAGTTCAGACAAGAATCCATTTTGACTACTTTGAATAGACTTTATCATACAAAATTATTTTGAAAATTAACACTATAAATTGTATCTACAAAGGCATAATAAGATCAGTACTTTATTAAGATTTAAGACATTGAATAATATGCAAGTGCACAAAATTATCAAAATAAGACAATGAAAGCCTACCTTCTTGTTGCTTGCAGCATCTTCTGCTTGTTTAACCAATGCTGTACCCTCAGCGGTCACATGCTGCACCAGAGTGATGAGTCAGAAATCACATTGCAAGTTAAACTTTTACTGAAGCTCCATAAAGTTCGAACATGAAATATCAGAAAGAAACCTGCTTAAATATCTGAGAAACAGGATCTAGGCCACGAGGTATTCTGCAAAAGAGCCTATACATACGAGAGAGGTCATCCACCTGAAATGCAAATAGAAGCATGGTCGTCAAACCTTATTAATATCTCATAACAAGAATCACTTATATGCATTATAGAGGTACAGGCACCTTGTCATCTCGAAGTAAGGCATGGCACCCAGAATGTTCCTTCTCCAAAAGTTGGCTTGCATATGCAAATAGTAACTCATGTTGCACTTTCTACAAATAAATGAAAATTTGATGATGAAAATATAAAGACAAAAATGGAAGTATCTTGCTGAAAATACTCATTATTGTTCCACATAGCACAATATTAAGTCCTCGAGTATCAAGATTTCAAAATATCCATTCTTTTTAACATAAAAACACATTTAGGTCACTGATCACCTCAGCTAGATGGTGCTAATGACAAAGGAGAATATACCTCTAACAACTTTTGTTCACTGCTAGAGTGCAAGTAATGAGCAACCCTATCCTTCTCCCGCTTTAAGCACTCTTCAGCCTAAAAAAAGGCCACATAAGACATCAAACACACTCACCGTGAGATAATTGAATATATTCATGCGAATTATGATAGGAAATACCTTTAACATGTAATCTGGACATGAATCTTCTAGAATCCAATTTGAAGCTTTCCTAGAATAATAAGCTGCAGTATCTTTAAGCAGATCTGCTTCAAAGTCATTTTCATAGCAGTCCATGTTACCCAACCCAATCTCAACGAAAATGTCCAAGACATTCTTCAATAAAGCTCTATCAATTTGTTCCCCCTCACGCTCTTGATCAATCTGCTTGGAAGACCAACCACGGTCAAGCCTGGCTATATAGATGAAAATGACCAATAGTGGAAAGAAAAGGTGACCAACTTACCAAGGAAATGACTGCATCTTTAACTTTTCCTTTAATCTCTTGATAAACCTAAAACAAAGAGAGGCCCTAAGGAACTCAAACATAATGAAGCAATGCTTGAATCATAGAGAATGTGTAATCTCATGTTACAGACAGCAGCAATGCAGCAAAAGAAGGAAAGTACCAAGTCGCGAAAGCAAGTAAGCCCAACTTCGTTCAGTGGTGGAAGCGACCTTCGCGCGATGAAATAACGATCAAGGTAATGAAAGAAACGTGAAAGCCACCTGACCATAACCTTATGATTTAACCATCTTTTGACTAGTTCCCTCAACATAAATTCATCATGCTTTTCTCTCAAAGATGGCAAAACCTGAGTAAAAAAAGAAGGAAGCTCTAATAAAATTCTGATAACAATGGTATCACTCAAGAGTTTTATTTATTTTAGAGTAAACTTTTTAATCAAGCCACAGCTTTATACTCAAAAAGAAATTTCATATGTTACATAAAAGAATGATGATATATCATATATGCATCTAACAATGATTTAAATTTTGATCCAATACCAGTTTTGGTAATCTAGTGAACAAGTACAGTAATGGTCGGAAAGTATATCGGCCCAAACCACCTGATATCAGCCAAACTTATATTAAAAGACTTACGTTGACCAGCATCATACCATGTGCTCCAATACTAGTCCTTGCTTGGACGGGCAAATACCCATTGGTGCGTATCATACCTATTATCTAAATGCAAGTTAATTTGTTCTATTTCAACACTCAAGACTTTGAACCTTTCTTCGTATGCACTACCATCTTTGAACATGATTATCAAACATGATCAAAGATGTATCTAAAAAGCAAGTAAATTAATTCTCTAGTAATTATTCAAAAATTTGAACATCTTTTCATATCCACCATCAAGGTCTGTCATTTTGCTTGAACTGGTACGTACCAGCTGGCATTTACTGGTCCAACGTAAACTGGCATCCACACTGTCCCTTTTTGAGTAGTTTATTTAGTAACTTAATTCTTTATTGTTAGCTTGGGAGGCCTTGTCCCTTCTTAGACTGAAGAAAAACTTACTAGAGGTGTCACAATTGTAACATTCTGTCACTTCCAAGCTTCACTAACCTACTCGTAGTCTAATTTAGCCAAATACTCACAGAACATCTCCCAAGATTTTATCCACATCCTTGCGGACTTAATAGAAGTAACGAGAGAAGAAGACCATTAAGAAAACCAGTTCAAGCCTAGTTTAGTAATGAAATTAATGAACTGGAAGATCTTTTTATGGTTTGATGAAAATCAAAATCATACTGTAGTATTTACTAAGCAATTGTTTAATAGATGATGTAATGATGTATAATTTTCTCATCGGCCCAAAATATGAAATGATACATTCATTAGAAAAGAATCAGAACTTGGTCTACAGCACTTCCACAAAACCCATGTAAAGAAGCACCTATTATTATTATTTTAATCAAAGAAGTTGCCCGAGATACTGCTAATCACATGAAATTAAATATGACAACTTTTAATGATGCAGTAACCTCAGTTTTAATATTTAATGAATATGTTTGGATAGCTAAATGCTACAGTGTCATTCTTTTTTCTCTTTTTGAGATCAGCACTTCATTCTTTAGGAAAAAACAAAGTTTTAAGTGCTTGTTTAGGTAATCAACATAGACAATAACCCAGCCTCTATGAAATATGGCAGGTGAACACCCACAAAATGCAATCTAGTAGGACTTAGGATCACCATCAACGCACAGATTATCAAAACCAGTAATACATCACAATGGTTCATATTGTGTATTTTGAGTAACACTCCTATGCATAAAGCTGAATTTACAAAATAAAAGAGTCTTAGAACAGTATGCCACATGAGTAAATTTTCACAAACTAAAGAACAAATGCATATGATACTTGAACACAAATTTAATTCAAATGAATTGTACAACCAATTCATCAAGAGACAGATCAGTGGCATGAAACTAACTAATTAGTCAATCTGCATGATTAGAAACTAGTTGTCTGAAGATTTCAACAAGAAAAACTAATTCCAAGGCTAGTTCAGTCCCTACTCGATCACATAGAACTGCAGGAAAATTACTTGAAAAGGGTGGTGGGTTTCAACAAGTTAAGGATAATAAAAGAGAATAACAGAGACACTGAAAATAAAACCTCTTATTCATCATAGTAGCTTTAAAATCTATCAGTTAGACCCTATATCTTTCAGCCTCTCTTCGTTACCACTTTCGCTTTTTATCTCTTCATGCATTACATTACCCACTATGTATAGAGGGGTCAAACGAAGAGTTTAACTTCAACTAAAACAAGGATTTCTAATTTTACTAAAACTTTCAAAGCAACTAATTATGTAAACATAAAGTTAAATTTAGTATTCCAATAATGTTGAAAACATTCATGTGTATGATGTACTAGAAAGGTATGCGTGAGTTTGAACTCTCAAAATAAAGGGGAAAATGATCAATCCACACAACAAAGGGGAATATGTTGGAAATATCCATGTTTGAGATGCAAAAGAGATGGAATAAAAAAATAGCCAGTGATATACGATGGGTTTGGCCCACAACTTAATAGCTTAAACTTTTGGATTGCATTAGTGTCCAAACTCATACATGTTAGCTCCAACCAGTTTCAATAAGACAGAATGAGATATCATAGCCGAGTGGACAAACTTTAATATAAATGAATAAAAAATGAACAAAAAAGATTGAGTCAAATGAGAATTGAAGAAAAAGATTGAGTCAGATGGACTGACTGAAGCTAATTTAGATAACCCAAATGAATCATATAAGCTATGCAACCCAAGTCAAGCTAATGAAGATGAGTGATATTATAACAGGTAGACACAATGTGGCGCAAGAATGATGTGGATGAGTTTGAACCATTGTAGAAACAAGGAAGACAATTAACCCAAACACAAAATAAGAAGATGTTAGAAATATTTATATGCATGAGGTGCCTGAAAGATGTGTATGAGTTTAAACCCTTGAGATAACGGTATAGATGCTCGGGAAAAAGATGTTAGAAATATTTATGTGTCTAAGATGATAAAAGAAATGGACTCAAGAATAATCTCACGTTACTAAGGATTGGAAGAGTTGGATGACATGTGATGAGTCTAGCCCACAACTTAATATGTTAAACTTTTGGCTTTTATTAATATTCAATCTCATGTATGTTAGCCATAACCAGTTTCAATCTCATAACAACACAGGTTGGCACGGAACAAATTTTCATCTTTTTATTTTTTGAGAATGCATGCAATCCAAGGCAAATGAATTATGCTCACCATGGAAGTAATGTACTCCTGAAACGACTCTCTGTACTTGTCATATAGCTGTTGGGAGTAATCGTGCGGGGGTTTCTGTGTGCACATGTTGTATATAGTCCTGATCCAACGTCGAGGGCAACAAAACCCATGATCAACAGAAAGACATTGAAGGACAATCAAAATTAAGGAGGATGAATGACGATACACAACGTACGTGTAGAGCATCATGTAGTCCTCTGAGCTGAACTGCGGCTCGGGGAGCCCCTCCAAGATGTTCTTCAGTTTGGTGACGCCCTTCTGCATGAATTCCCATCCCTGCTCCAAATCGATCGTCTTCCTCTCGTGCATCGACATCCTCCGCTGCGCCCCAGATCCCCCCTCGACCGAATCCTACACGAATCGGAACCCTGCGCGCGATCACCCGGTAGGAGAGGAAGGCAAGGGGATCGAGTCAAACCCTAACATGGCATGGGAGCCCCAAGCCCATGGATCAAACAAGGAAGAAGTAGGGTAAGGAGAAGGGAGGGGAGGCGAGGAACGAGAGTAATCGCACCTGAGATCGATCGATACGCTAACCCTAGGAAGAGGTGGGGGAGTCGGAAAAGCTTCGAAGGAGGTCGCTGTGGTCAGGAAGAAGGTCGATGGCGATGGAAATAGAAGAGCCCGAGGACGGTCTTTTAAACCGAGAACTCATGCGAACGCATGTGACCGTGAAGCGCCTCTCGCTCGAAGGAAACTAGTGCTTTCGATGAATGCAACTCCGAGGAAGCGTTCGCATTTGCTTGCGACCAAAACAGCGTCCAATAGGAGAGAATTAACAAAGAAAAAGGAAGGTACAAACGTGCCCCGCCCGAGTCCGGATTAGTGGGGTCGCCAGTGGGTCTCACGTCGATTTCCAATCGTCACGCGGGTAGTTTAAAGGTTACGGAAAAGTGTTGTTCTTGGCTGAGGTGTGCAGGACGAGATTGAGTGGTTTAGCATCTTTCTATGTTCATTTAATAGTTATATAATCTATAATGTGATCGACAAAATAATAGTTACTGTCCCCACCACAAATATCATACTTACTATAATAACAATAAATCCGTAAGTTCTACCTAAACATCATTTTATATTTATTTAATATTTATATATTTATAATATGATTGATAAAATAATAGTTACTGTCTCTAGCAAATGATTATAATATGACCATAAATCTCAATTCTTTTAGATTAATTGGATGAATCTTTTGCTAAATATAATTAAAATAATAAACGATTAAATATAAGGTATAAAAATATATATAATCATATATGATAAATAAAAAAAAATATTTTCATATGGAAAGTTGCATAAAAATTAGAGTTTTTATAAGATAAATAATGATATTTTATTAACATCATCTTTTAATTACCTTATTCGTTTATTTCTTTCTTTATAATTTAAACTAATTATATATATTATCCACTGTAATAAGTTATTTTCAGTATCACGGTTCTACAATTTCAAAAGTTACATTGAGATCCCAAATATTTATAAAAAGTGAAATATTAATATCCATATACATGATTAAAATGATGATTTTATATTATTAAAAATTAAAAAGATAAAAAAAATATTGAAACAATGGGTTCAATATTTTACTTTCGTAAGTATAAGGATATTAATATAACTTTTAAAAATATAAAAATTAAGATATCAAAAATAACTAATTATAAAAAATAATATGTAATTAGTCCTTGCGATTTTTTTTGTCATGTTTTAGAGCTATTAAAGGTGAGTCGATTTTTTCTAAAATAATTTTTTTATTTTAAAAATATTTTTTGTTGATCATTTTATCAAAATTTAGATTGTTGTGTATTACTGTTATAATGTGATGTGGAGAAGTCAAATATTTGAGGGGTTTGAGATGGTCTAATGAGGATTTGAAATATTAGTATCAAATTAAGTTGATAGTTTGAGATATGTTAGATACCATCTAATAATTTTACATATAAGATAATGATCGAATGATGGTGTGTCCAAATTCTTGACCTACGAAATTTTAAGGTCTACATTTTCCGAAAATTAGATGATGTAATCAAGACATTTTTTTCGGTGAAAATATTAAAATCAATGCAAAAAACAAGTATATGTAATATTATTTTGGATTATGTTAAATATTATAAGAATTATAAAAAATTTTGGAAGATGTAGAAAAATATGTAAATATTCGAAAATAATATTTATATTTTTTCTTCAATATTTTTACCAAAAATACTAAAAACACATTTTTCTCAAAAAGACTCCTATTGTTTTTAAAAAATGGTGTAGCTAATTTTTTAGAGACCTCAAAATTAATGTACTGATTTTAAATGATTTAAACATAACGTCCATTTTTATTTATTTATAGTTTATTTTATGAATAGTTTACTGTTTCGGAATATTATAGATTGATTTTAAAAATGTGGCTCTTTCAAAAAATGTTTATTGTATGTATTTTTAACATCCTATTTTGATATATTGTTTAAAATATAAATAGTAAAATTTATTAAAAATTGAATTTTATTTCTCAAGTTTATCTTTTTAATAGTTTTTATAGTCATCTAATTTAAAATTTACCGAACCAAACTAAGTAAAAAAAAGGACCCAAAAAGGATAAAAATACCAAAACAAAACTTTTTTTTTTTTGAGACTTCAGCTAATATGTTAGAAACTATGACATTTTTTTTTTAAAGAGACTATTATCTATTTTTAATACTAAAATTTATTCCTATATTTATAAAACTCTTTGATTAAGAGTTTAACAAAAATCCAAATTTGCTTTAATTAGCATAATTATAATTTTTGAATATATTTTTTTTGATGAGTTAGTTAAATAATAATGCTCAATTTTATTGCTTACCCTTTTCCTTTATTTCTCTGATTGGAGTTTGTAAATGGACCCACGGGTGGTCCCGCATGGAGACAAGTGCAGGTGCTTCGGGTAAACTGTCATCGAGTAGGCGAAGTAATTAGGATTAACGTCGGGCAATCTTTACAAGCTGGTCTAGCTTTCCCATAATCGTCTCCCATTGCATTAGTATCTCATTTTGTGTGGGGTCCAATGTGGTCCCGTTCTTCTCTCCATTTATAAGACGGGTACGTCATTCGAGTTAAAGAAAACGTGTAGATATAGACTGAAATTTAAGAACAATGATGAGAGGCGCTATTTTTCTGCCGTTGCCCGCTCATTTCCGTCCGGTCATCAACTCTAGTAATAACGGCAGCTCTTGAAGGACGAAAACCCTACCCCAAGCTTTCCAACTCGAATGGCGGACTCCGATCCGGCTCCACCTCCATCTCCTCCGGCGTCCGCCACCGCCGCTTCATATCTTCTCTCATCGCCATCCGTGAGTCTTCTTATTCTTCTGATCTTTGCTTTCAGTCTCCTCTCTCCGCCCTTTCATCCATGTCTCTGCTCTTGGGTTTTGTCTTTGCGATCAAAGATCGGGAGGGTGATTTTGATTATTTGATGTCCTTTTTGGTTTTTCTGCCAGACGAAGCAGGACGATCTGCAACCAGTGGCAGCAAAAGTTGCGGTGAGATGAGATCTATGACCTATCTCGCATTACCGGGTTCTCTTTGCTAATAGACTTCGTTTGATCCTCACATCGTTTACGGATTTTGTCAGGAACTGAATGAATCGCAGTCGGAGTTGTTGGAAAGACTTCAAGGTTTGAAGCAGGTGGATCTGCTCCTCCTTTTTCTCTTCTTAATCTTATGTGAGTAGTCGAGGATTGAGAAATTGGAGGGATTCGGGAATGATACATTCGTGTGTTGACAGGATTTGCAAAACTGGAGAAGTAAGCTGGACACCCAAGTCAAGACCTACAAGGATGTGAGTGCCCATCGTCTATTGTGCTGGAAACTTGTTTCTTCTTTTATTTCTCTTTCTTAATATTTTGTATGATTATGTTCTCTTCAAGTTTGATTTTCGCTCACAACTTCTTTGGGGCGTCAATGCCATCGGTTAGGACGTGCTGTGGCATTCAGATCTCTATAAAATGTTGGTCTACTAAGGAGTGTTACCGTTGTCTAATAAGCCTGATTATTGGTCAACAGAACAAAGATATCATGAGGCTTGGTTATTCATCCACTTTTGACATTGGTAGGCAGATAATTCTATCATATAGGACTTAGTTTCCTTAGAGGCTTCTGTGACTTTAGTTGGATAGAGGACACTCATTTATGTTTTTCTTCCCACTGTTAGGTTTTCCTTGGCTTTTTCCGATTGAAGAATGGCAGGCCTATTGACATTGATAAATGAGAGTCGAAGAACACATTCTTCTTCCAGCTTGCAACATTGCACCATGTACTATTCATGTTCTTGTTGTTCATTGACTGTGATCATCGGACATGCTCATTTTCGGTAGTCAATATGACTTGCTATTGCCTGACTTGCCAGGCTTACTACTAGCACAAGGTGATATCCCCTTGTCTGCAGGCTTAACTGTTGCACCAGCCTTGTGTCTCCTTAGAATGAGCCTGTAACTATGTGAGCCAAAATTCTTAAGCTTTTGTTGCTAGTGATGATTCATTTCGTCTAACATGCAAACGTTTCCCTTCCACTTCCAATGTCAGGCTAGTTGGGGCATTACAAATATATTTCTCAATAATATGGAAGACTATGTCAAGAGGTTCTTAGGTGCTTGCCTTGATACTCTGTTAAGTCAAGACTGTGCCCAAGCATTTTGAGGGGCACTAGGTGAGGTGTCTCCAACTTGGTGTTGCCTAGGGAAGCACTTCAGTTGAGGTGTTGGGCATCCTTGATGCTTGCTTCGGTTGGCCCAAGCTATCTAAACTCTCTAACCCTATCCAAAACCTAATTTCCAACCTCTTCTCATCCGCACAAATATGACTTGATCCGCACTTGATCCCCTGCATGATCCAATTAGTCCTCCCTTCGAGCCCACCCAATAGCTATGCTCTTTTCCTCATCTATTCATTACTTTAACCTCTTTCTTCCCTCTTATTTTTCCTCTCTCTTTGTGGATGCTTCATCACTGCCGTCGTGTCTATTCTCATTCCTCTCTGTTCCTCCTCTACTCTGAGTTCAACGAGCACCCCTCTAGCTCTCACTCTCATTTCCCTCATTGCAGTCAGCATTGATTGTTGTTGCCCTTTTTGCTTTCTTCTCTCTCCTCTCTTCTTACTCCTCTATCTCTGAGTACTTCAAGCCATAAGGGACCTTGGGTCCTTATAGTGCTGTTTGTTATTTGCTACACTGAATATTGATGCTTTCATGCTCTCAATTTTTGTGTTGGTGCTTGGTTGTTGGAGTTTTGGCTGTCATTACGAAATCTCCAGAAAAATCTGGATAAGAATTTTGTTCTTTTGTTGTTTCTAAGTCAGTCCCAAGAAAGAGATGCTGATTGCCTAGAGCAAATTACAGCTGTACAAGGAGTTTGATACAACCTAAAAGGCTACTTTGTGCACAATGGGAATAAGCTCATGCAGCCTTGAGCGACCCTCCTAAATTTTCTGAGCAACTATTGACTTTGGGAGATATTCATCTCCAATGCAGAAAAAAATGTAGAAATTCCAACAAGGCAGACATTTACTTGGTTCTATCATTTTTTAAAATCACTTATCTTAATGTATTAATGATTATTCTCATTAGAGTAAGGTTTTAGTTGTTTGTTGAATGCATAGCACCTTC